ACCGTCCGTTTCTCGCACCCATGGAGTTAACATTGTACGATGTGGAGGCACGCAGAGCTGAATCAGGAATTTGGTAGTTCTGCAATCCTAAAATTTTCTTACACTCTTCAGTAGGGCCTTGTTCAAAACCTGTCAGGCGAGTAGAAAATGTAGTGAACAGGAGGAGAAATTAGTTATTAATCGCATTTTACTCTGCTATGTGCTTCACGGTAAAGTAAATCTAGTTCCTGCTTTTACTCAGCAAAAGGGATTGTTTTCAAATTGAGGGACAATTTCTCTTCTTAGTAATGAAATGTATTGCATTTGCGATGTTTAGACAGGCTGGCCCAGTTCAGCTCAAAGATGGTTTAAATGTGGGCACGTTCCCTACTCTACGTGCGAGAAGTGCATGGGTTCGTAAACGTCCCCTGCTAACCAGTACAGTGAGGGTGCAGAAGACGGTACCAGAGAAGACTAGAATGTCTAACCAATTGCGGATGTCCTAGCAAAGAGACTTAAGCCCTTGACCTCTTGCACGGTAGTCCGGCGCTTTATAACGTGAACTAACCAAGCAGGCATGATCGTAGTTAAAAAGCTCTCCGCGGAAAGACACCTAATCTATATGTCCTGTTGGCTTACCACTGAGTTTTAAGTTGCTCTGCTGTCAAAGCATCCGGCCTGAATCTGTAGTTTCCTTAGGCTAAAATATTCATTTTTTTTCCTAAGTACACAAGATCACTGAATAACAAAAGGGATCACATCGAAAACAGAATGGTACTTCTGTCGAATTCGTTACGAATTGATGACTCTGCCATATGCCTAGTGTGAATGATATCGTGATGAGTAGCATACCTTCCCTGCAGCCAAATAATTCCACTCTCATGCAGATGCGTCCATTCCAGGTCATAGGATGGATTCGCACGTACCGTGCTATTATTGGCTCATCAAGAATTCGACCTTCCGCTGTATTCCTGTCGCTATTTCCAATGATCACCTTTAAATACGACACCTTCATATAAGATTCCTCCATTTTGATTAAACGAAAAACTATCATAAATTTGACCAGCGCAGAGTATTGAAGTTTTTTTTTGTCATGGTCTTTTTTCTATTCATTTGTAAGTATTTTTTCTGTTTGTCATGTTTTTTTGTTTTGTTTTTTTTGGTTGTTTATATCGCAGTCATCAGAACACGTTTTTGTATGAGAACTTGTGAAGTCGAAGATGCAGCCGGGGGTTGCAGCAAAGGAAGTCAGGATTGGTGCGACTCCACCGTATTTTTCAAGAGGAATATGAGTTAAAATCAAATCAAATGCCTTTGCACTTCTCAGAATAGGTATAAACAAAATAAACATAACGTTTCATGCCAAACTAATTATCACTCAGAAAGGATATTTAGCATACCTCGCCATTTTTGTAAGACTTATATTTCCCTCCATCGCTGTAGGTCAGTGTATATTTCGTAACCCACCAGTTAGCATCATATCTTCCCTGGGTCGCGATTCGGGTGACTTTTGTGATTTTTCCTAAGTCTATCTCAAGCCATTGACCAACATCCACGTGCTTTGAGGCCCAACCACCGTAATAGCTTCCCTCTTGCTTCATGTGTAACCTGCTTCTTTCAGGTCCAAAGTATTGGTTGTAGTCGGAAGAAGACTTCAAGGCAGAGTTAGGAATAATTTTGCTTTCCATTCCGAGAGGTTTTGCACAAGCTATTTTTGGAGGATCGAATCCTGTTGGAGAAATGTAAGGGAACAAACATTTCTTTTCCAAGAAAGTAAGCTTCAAGACCCAATTGTTCAAAGAAGGATCGATCAATTCAAAGCTTCAACATCTCCCCCCCCCCTGGGAAAACCCCGAGCATTTGAACTTTTGAAGACTGGTTTGTTCCGCCCATTTTTTTTGTTAATTGTAAAATCGGCGACCGTGGCTTCTACACATCATTGACCAAGCTGTAAAGCCTAAACCTTGTAAACCTTATCTTCTGAGCCATTCGCTTGCGAAGGTAAACTTTTTACCTTAACCACCTCCATATTTAAAGATATAACACCGGAAAGACTCGAAACTTCCGATTCAATTTCCCAATCCCAGCCGGACAAGGTTTAAATGATCCACCTCCCGGGCACGAAAGACGGTCAAATGCCTGTGGGTTGCCGGGGGGATATTGCGACTTTGATTGGCGTATAACGTGATGCAACGGATAAATTGCTATGTAGTGGGTGAGTGTCAGTAAAGCACACTGACGATAGGACAAAAGAAAGACAGACAATCACACCAATCCTTATAGGATCCCATTGGATCATTTACCTTTACTGCAGCCATAAAACTCTGTTCTCATTGAGATGTGTCCATTCCATTCTTCAGGATGAATTCGAATATATCGGGTTATAACTGGTTTGTACAAGGTGTTTCTTACCACTGTGTATCGATCAAAGTTCCCTTTAAAAATCTGTGCAAGAAAAATGTTTATGACGAATTTCAAAGAGTTGCTAACCTATTAACGAACGAACGAAAACAAACGTTCATACACCTTTTCAATGAACACCTCCACGTCAATAGATTACAGTGTGTAATAAAATGCACGTGATACTGATAGGACAAAAATGTAAGTACTTCTTTTTGCATTAGCGCCCTATCGGACATATAAGCTGGTTTGCTTCCATTTGATTAAAAGATCAGGTGCCCCTCAAACTCGCAAAGCTACGCCCTGGTTCGATTACTAGATAGATATAAATATAGTTCGGTGCAGCTCCACGGATATATCAACAATGTAACAGTACTATCCAGTTTCTCTATGCAAAAAAGAACTGGAAAGAAGCTTCACCAGATGCCGGAGAGGGTATGCTATGTTGCCCTTACGAGGACGTGCGCATGGCTCTACTAACAACATACCTGTTTTGAAGCATGCTCGTTGTTTACAACTTCCCAAAACACAGAATCATAGCTGAAAGAAAGGCTGTACAATTTAACCCACTGATTAGAGTCCTGTCTTCCCTGTGTAGCAACAGCCGTAATTTTTCTCCAGTCTCCAAAATCAACCTGTAACCATTGCAACAGATTGTTGGTTCCGGACGCCCAGCTGCCATATTTTCCACTGCCAGCCATAAGAAAATGAAGGCGGCCAACGGAAGGGGCATGACTGTTAACGTTGGCTGAGGATGATGCAGAGATAGCAGAGTCGGGTATCTCACCGCTTTCCATACCCAAGGCCTCCATGCATTGTGGCGCTTTTGGGACTGAATCACCTGCACGAGCCAAACGTAAAAACTGTGCGTGTTTGATATTTCAATGGGGAGGGGAACAAGTCAAGTTAATACCTATCAGTGGTTATTCATCTAGTAACCGCCTTAAAAAAGGCAGTAAGAACTGATGTAATAAAAGTCTGTTTTACAGCGTCTTTGGAAATTTTAAGTGTTTGAACTAATAGTATTAGTTGTCAAAAGTCAAATAAGAAATCACCCTAGCGGTGGAAAGCGGATTTGATGATTTTTTAACCCTTTAACTCCCAAGATCTCATTAGTTATTCTCCTTACTGTCTGCCATACAGTTCTTGTGATGTTAGTCTGGAGAATTTGGTATTGGATCAACCAATTATCCCCTAATTAAGATTTTTCTTTATACTCATCACTTGTCTGCTTGATATTGTATTGATATTGTAAGGAGAAATTCTCTCTTGGTCATTCATGGGAGTTAAGGGGTTAAGGATAATAAGAATCATTTTTTTCCTGTGTTATCCATGCTCAAAGTGACGTTTTCCTAGCTTCTTTCTCTCACTAAAAAAACACACTTGAAAAGTGCCTGAATCGGCAACCTTACATTTCCTCAACAGTAGCTTGAAAAGTGAGTATGTCAGCTCAGTCAGGTCTCAGCCCCTCAATCCCCCCATCCCCTCGCCCACAAATGCCATCTTTCTCGGTCTAACAGGAGAGCTTTCGCATAACTCTCTCTTATTTTTCGTAGCAAGGTTCATTTGGCCTTGTGTGGCGTTGGCGTACCTTACTTTTCTATAATTTGAAGTTCCTCTGAAAAGGCATTTTTTTCTAATATTTTAAACACGAAAGAACATTTACGCTCCATATTGTATGAATCTAAAGGAACTTAATGGTGCGTTGGTGACAGAAATTAAGACAATGGTAAGCAGAACGGAAGCCATCATAGTACCATCGACAGAGCACCCATATAACTCCACCCTCAGCGAGGGATATCCTTGATATGTTTTGACGTTGATTTTGATGTAGCGAGCCATGATGGGTGGGTCAATAATCCGGCCAACGGCAGTTTTGTAGTCGTAATTGCCGTGGAAAACCTTAAAAACAATGACACGTGGAATTTGAAGTTATATCATGTATATCGAAGTAATAAAACCTTACGTCAAATAATTGCTATCATAACCCACCCATTAATTACAGCTCGATTTTATTGGCTACTTTACGTCATGTGGTGCAAAATCACCGGACAGTTTACAGCAATAATCCCTGTCTGCGTCGACATTATTTTATATTATATTATTTTATTATTTTAGACTATTATTTTACATGGAAACTACAAAAACTCGTTTTGTAGAGTCTAGTGATAGTGATATTAAAATATGCATCCGCCACTAGATCAACAGTGAAGAGTTTGCTTCTCGGCCAAATATTAATAATAAGTACGTGGAGATGAAGACGGCATATTTTATAAACGTGGCTCCGATCGTAACGAGGACGAAAGAAGTTTATTTAAACGGTGGATAAATGGCAGGATAAAATGGCAGGACAGTAATCCAGCAGTGAACTGTTGTCGTACGAAATCCAATTAGCATGGCGAAAAAAACCACATGATAGATAAATAGCCAATCAGGAAGTTGCTGTGATGCTAAGCTACTAGCTTTTAAATTACAGTTTGCATCAACATGAGCGGCAGCAAAGAATAATAACGCACCTCATTCCCACTAATGTATGGTACAAAAGCTTCCCCATGAACACTGTATTCCAAGGTATAGGTCTTTGACCACCAGCCTGCGTCATAGCGCCCTTGTGTAGCGATCCCGGTCACGTTGGTCACTTTTTGCAGGTCAATCTGCAGGAACTGCTTATCGTCCCGGTATTGGGAAGTCCAGCCTCCATTAAAGCTACCTAATTAGCGATATCAATGACTTGTGTTAATCGGTACAGCTGCCTTATACTCGTCTACGTTATGTTCCTCCGTTGTCATCATGCAGCCAGGTTGCCACAAAAATTCATTTGCTGGGAAGCCAGCTATCTTTTTTCCTGTACACTGTACTTTCTGTGTGTGTGTGTTTTTTTTTTCTCTTTTGAGTGGGTTTTTCGGTCTATGTTATTTAAGTTTTTAAAGGCTACAAGTGACATAAGGAAACTATAGGTCTACAAAAAATTTCTTACCTTCTTTCTTCTCGTTCATTCTTCCGCGTTCAGGTCCCCACCATTGGTTGTAACGCGATGATGCTACGATGGCCGAATCTGGAATCGCGCCGTTTTCCATTCCCAGAGCCGAAAAACATTCTATCTTAGGAGCTTCGACGCCTGTTTTGAATTTAAAGAGAAAAGGTAGTCATTCTTCTATATGCTGTGTGAAATCTTTAAACTGATTAGTAGATGTTAGAATGTTCCTCAGACGCCTTAGATACCCTTAGACACCTCATGAAGCCATGTTATCTTCAGCTTTTCAGAAATTCAGAGATGATGACGGTAGGTCGTTTTTGATGATAATTGATAGCTACAAACATCCATTATGTAAGTGCGTTACATCCATCTGCATTACATGACATAATATTGCTATTGTAAGGTTTTTCCACTGATTGAGTTCATCATGCAGCCAGTGATTAGTTTCCAACCTCATTACGTACTTTTAAGCAATTATGAAGCAGTCTAAAATTATTTTAAAGCGGCAGAAATACAGAAACGAGATATTGCACTCCTAATCCAAAGTTAGAGTTAAGAATCAGCTTCTTTATCAGAGAATGCATTACTCGTTAGTTGTAAAGGAATGAGATAAGCTCTGCATTTCATGCGAAATGCAATTTATGCAAGCTGAATATATATTTTCCGTGACTGGAAGAACCCTAGCATCAGTGATCTAATCCAATTTGCTTTTCCATAAGTAGATAAAAAAGTAGATTCTGGAACGCTGACGATGTTGTCTTCTCAAACGTTCATTTAAATTGCATTTTTCATCTTTCTGACCCTAGTTGGATTAAATCGCGTTTATTTTTCTATACCCTCTCAATTTAGATAAGAAGAACAACCTGCTACCTTCAATGCAACCGTAAAATTCCGTTCTCATGGACACATGTCCATACCACTCTTCAGGATGAATCTGGATGTACCGAGTTACAACTGGTCGGTCCAGCAAGTTCCTCACAACCGTGTATCGGTCGGAGTTGCCATTGAAGACCTGTGGAAATAACAACAAGCCTTTCAAGCGTTTCACAGCAGGGATTTTACGTATACATCATGGATGCACTTGTCAAGCAGTCAATAGCTGTAAGGTCTGATTCAAGTTCGTCTATGGAGATTACTGAGGTCTGAGCTACGTAATTTTTAGATCAACGTCAGTATCTGAGAACTGTGCACGTACCCCTTATCCCCCCCACCCTCAACCCGACAACAGTCAACTGATTACAACTAAGAGTTAATATTGGGTTATAATTACATGTAAGTGTTGTGACAAATGACCGATGGATAATAAGTGAGAAAATCTGAACCACAAATGAAAAATTCCATGAAAGGAACTGCAGAAAGTAAAGCCTTAAATTCGGGCTGGACAGGGGCTAACATCGTATCACCCAAAAATCGTTCTGCGTAAGTTTAATTCTACCGCATTTATTTTATGTCACTGATTTTAACATTTCGAACGGAACAGAACAAATCAACCAAAGTGTAGTCGCCTAATTCTTCATCTAAGATTAACTAACCATTTTAATACCTGTTTTGAGCCTTGTTCGTTTTTAACCGTTGCCCAAAACACTTCATTATAGCTGTACGAAAGGCTGTACTTTTTAACCCATTGATTGGAGTCCTGTCTCCCTTGTGTGGCGACAGCTGTAACTTTTGTCCAACGGCCAAAATCAACCCGAAACCATTGCATTAAATTGTTTGCTCCAGCAGCCCAGCTGCCATATTTTCCACTGCCAGACATAAGAAAATGAAGTCGGCCAACGGAAGGGGCATGGCTGTTAGCGTTGGATGAGCTAAATGCAGAGATAGCGGAGTCAGGTATATTACCGTTTTCCATGCCCAAGGCATTCATGCACTGTGGCGGTTTTGGGACGGAGAAACCTAAATACCAGTGTGTAAAAACACATGTGAGAAAATAGGTGTGTTTTTTATGTGCAAAACTTTGGTGACTTTGGTTAGTTGGTGTGACGAGAAAAAAAATGGCACAGCTACGCCAAACTAAGAAAAATATTACGTAAGATATGTCATCAACGTGCGTCCTCGATTAGGCCTAAAAACATAGCCAGGTGTTCAAGCAACTGAGTAGGAGAGAAACCGTCTGCGAACCGGGACTGGTCTTAAAATATTGGGCCATCGAGAACTGTTAAAACAGATTGCGAGTGTGTCTGTCAAGCTAAAATTCTCTTAAGAAATTTCAAACAATAAGTGCCCTACACTTTTGTGTATGAGAAAGCCAATAAAGCTGTTAAACAGCCAAAAACCAAAATGTAAATTCGAAAGCTGATTAGCAAAAGAAGGCATGTTTCAACCAACGAACATTTTTGAAAACTGAAAACTCGTCTGACACTTAAACCATGATTTATGAGCACGTTGGAAGGGTGGATCACAAAACGGCTTGTAAAAGATAAAAAAATATTGAGAATTTGTCTCTGGTGCGTTCGGAAGCATGCTACCTCGTCACCTTTCCCCTGTACTTCCATGGAAATTCATTTATGATACTACACATACCTTTGGTGCATCCAAATAATTCCACTCTCAATGATGGATATCCAACGAATTCTTTGACGTTGATTTTGATGAAACGAGCTACAATGGGTGGGTTGAGGTTATGGCCAACAGCAGAAGTATAGTCAATATTTCCTTGTAGAACCTTTGGAAGATCAAAGTATTTATTCAAACAATTAAAAACATACTTTTGTTTAAACCTTGTTTGAATTCATCATGTTAATAGGGCCGAATGAAATCCAATTCGCCCTTGAAAAAAACAGCTCGACGGTGAGACAGAAGTCCGACTTTTTGATTAGGATTCTAATAACAGATAGAATTAGACAACGCAAACTCCTGTTGCCCGTAAATCAAAATGACTGTGACAGTAATTGACAAACAAAATATGAACCAGTTAAACGTATACACAAAGAGAAAAAACCACAGCAGTGGACTATTTTCCACAAGTCTTTATAACAGCGCGAGCAAATAGAGCGCATTGTTTAATCACGTGATGAATTAACTCTCCAATTCAGTTGTCCAGTAACTGAGGAACTAGCGCTTAAATCGTGATGTTGTTACCCCGCTACGATTGTAAAAGTTGGTATGGTTTAATTGATAGGCTATGTGATGGAGATATAAATTACCTGGCCATCATTATACGATAAAAATTCTCCTCCGTGTACACTGTATTCCAGGGTATAGGCCTTTGTCCACCAGCCGGCGTCATAACGCCCTTGAGTTGCAATCCTGGTCACCTTGGTAACATTCTGTAAGTCAATCTGTAGGAACTGTTTATCATCTTTGTATTGGGAAACCCAGCCTCCTTGGAAACTCCCTAATAGAAATAGAGATTATTCCATGGAAATTGTGCACTTACGATTTTCATTCATGAGTTGCGATGCATCAAAAAAATGAACGAATGAGCGCAGTGAACAAGTGAGGTTTTTTCTTTACGCATCCAAACGCATCTTGATGCATCGCAATATTGCAACGAGAGAATGAAAATCGTTCAAGCAATTTCAATGGTATGATGTATTTATTTCATAAATACTGAGATTTTTTCACATTTCAACTTGAAGATTGGAAGCGAACGACTATGAAAATACATCATCAGTCCAATCAGAGACACAAACGGTAGTACTTTACAATGTACTTTTCAGTAATATATGTGAAATAAATAAGCATTTGCAATTGATATCAAACATTCATCAAATCCACTTCATTTCAAGGCAATTTAGTGCATTTCTGTTAAAAAAGAGAATAAGCCATATTTAATTTGAAGAAGTCAGGCGGCATCTTGATAGGGCAGAATCGGTTTCCCACCAAAGTTCAAATTTCGACCAAAGCTAACATTAACGGACGAGCTTAATCTAAGGTGGCTCACTAATTTTTTTGTACTTTTTCAATACATGAAGCTAGCGACCGTCAATGCTTTGCAACGTCTGCAGCATTTCATTTAAGGCATAAATCGCAATAACAGGAGCAATATTTCAACAGAGGGACTTGATTAACGACGAAAAAGGCTCAAATTCTGATTTGAATGAATCAGATAATTGAGTAAAATGTAAAAGAAAAATCTAGTGATGCACAAATGAATGGAAGAATTAATTAATCAATCAATTAAATCAATTTCCAATTCAACGTAAGTAATCCGAGAGAGAGTGCATTCCTTTTTCTTCGCCCTGTGATAGTTCCAGAAACCTCGCACCACTTTCTCAAACAATCAGGTGCCAAACTAAAACAAATCACGACTTCTTTTTTACTGCACTTTAGGTTGTTTGGTTGCTTTTTCACTTTGAGTTCTCATTGGCTCTTAAAGATATTTTTCTCTCTTCCGATTGGGCGGTATGGTTACTTTGGTTTTAGTTTTGCGACATTAAATCGTAAAGCGCTCTAATCAATCAATCAATACATACATACATACATAGATTAAACAATATCTAAACCAGTAACTAAGCCTGCTATCATTTAAAGGAGGGACCACGATACCATCAACTGCCTCGTTGAATCTTCCACGCTCAGGCCCCCACCACTGGTTATAGCGCGACGACGCTACAATGGCTGAATCTTCTATGTCACCGCTTTCCATCCCTAGAGGCGACGCACACTCTATTTTGGGGATATCAAATCCTGGTTGCGAAAAAAAAAAAAAAAGGACAGGAAAATTGTATTATTTTAAAAACACCATCATCTTTACTACCTGGAATTATTTGAATTGCTACCTAAAAAGTAAAAACATTTTCCTATTTCTTCATTTATAATAATACCGTAACGATATGATCGCTTGATCAACCAGGTACTCATCGGTAATGTGGCACGATAAGCGAAATTTCTTTTATGCCGCAATCCCCTTCGTGAATTTCAGGTACCCTTTTTAAAGAAAATGATTCGGCATTGAATAAAAGGATCTCATATGTTGAGAGAAAAACGTACCAGATTCACAGCCATAAAAACCAGCTCTCAAGGCAATATGCCCATGCCAGGACCGAGGAATAATTCGCACATATCGCGCTATCACTTGTCCCCGCTCCAGCAAATGGCAAACGGGCATAAATTGGTCTGTGTTTCCCTTGAATGTCTGACAAGATACAACAAACGTTTAAAGATTAAATTAGCTAGATTTTTATAGTTTTACATCAAAATAGTTTAAAACAAAATAATTTAAAACAACTATTCACATCTGTGTCGGTGTCACCGCTTGCCACCGAGACTGAGGTGAACAGTTTTTTTAGTTCATACTAGAACAGTGAGAGAAAATTGCACAAAAGAGATGATTTAAACTCATTTACCCCTGTAAAGATTACAAATCCCGTGCCAATTGCTCAGAGGTGAACAGCAAAGGGTATTCGAAGTTTGACTAGCCACTCAGAGCGCGCCTTTAATACCATCCACGAAGATATACGATCTTAAGTCAGGGAGAGTTTATACATAAATCCATGTTTACTTCCGTAGTGCTTACCGCTGAATATTTGGTGCAAAGGCCGCTATTAGTTATTTTTTTCTTCTGTTTGATTTTACATTTTGCCTCTGGATAACATTAACAATTACAGACTTTCATTCCTTAGATTGTAAGAGCTGCATCGACTCGAAAATCATTTTATAATATAAAACCACTTGTTTTCTAACTATAAGAACATTTCTTCTTGAGGATATGGAATTTTCATTTCGGCAGCCAGTATTAAGAAAAGTCTATTCATCACTAAAACAAGTCGTTCATTACCCCTTGGAGCGTTCTGTAAAAGACTCCATCATAACTGAACGCCAGTGAGTAGCTGGTCAGCCACTGTGCCCCATCCAGCCTTCCTTGGGTGCAGAATCTCATCACTTGCCTCCATCCTCCTAAGTTCACTTGAAGCCATTGGTTCTGGTCGTTTGTTTTGGCCAGCCAGCTTCCAGAACCTCCCTGATACTGTTGGTAAAGACGACCTTGGCTCGGCCGGTAGTTTTTGTTATAATAGGAAGAAGCAGTTATGGCTGAATCAGGGATTTCGTTGGGACCTTCCATTCCAAGTCCATCCATGCACGTAGGAAAAACTGGAGGTTGGAAGCCTTGAAAAGCAAAAAATAAAAAGACAGGAGAACAGGGCATAAGTAGTTATATTCTCACATGCAAGCGTGAATACTCGATAAATGCTAAGAAACAAATCAGCGTATTAGTGTTAATAGGATGTACAGTTACCTGAGTCACAACCAACAAACTCAAGCCTCATTGAAATGTATGCATGCCATTCCACCGGGTGAACACGAAAAATACGGGCGATGATTGGTTCGTCCAGCTTGGTTTCCGCGACAGTCTGATAGTCTCTATTGGCATAGTATTCCTAGAAAGAAAAAAAAAACACATTCAGCATACTTACAAACATTTTTTGCTTATTTAACAGATATTGTTGGGTTGTTGTTAGACCCATAGCGGTATCTTTACTCTTTTTTTTTTTTTACAAAAAAGATCATTCCATCCAAAACTATACGTGACATTTATTTTTGGATGTACATAAAGTTCGCGATAAGAAAGAAAAGTTAGTTACATAGGTTTCTTGTTTTAAATCTACACGTGGAATCTATATTTAGACTCAGTTTGTGATTTTAGGCAACGCTCAGTGATTGGTCTAGAAAGCTCGCGTCAAACCAATAAGATACAAAGTTTACTACAAACAACGACTTTTACTCCAGTTTGTCTCAGTGATTTATTTGGTTTGGGTTTACCACAGGAAGCACTTAGTGTTCTCTGCAATGAGTGAAGGCTCCCAGCTCGTAAATAGCTCAAAATTATCTCTATTGGTGGAATTTTAAAGCTCAAATTGTTCAGAGCAGAAAATAATTTCACTTTATGAATTTTTCTATGAAAACTATTATATGTTTTTACCCGCGGAACATTGTAAGGATGGTGAAGTTGAAATGAGAAATATCCTCCATCAAGGCTGTAAGACACTATAAACTTGGTCACCCATTGTGCAGCGTTATGGCGTCCTTGGGTCAAAATCGTCGTTATTTTGACAATCTTTCCAAAATCCACTTGGAACCACTGGCCCTTGTCGTTGCGCTTAGCAATATAAGTGGTCTGGTGGTTGAGCCTTCCTTTATTTGCTGCATAGGATGCGCTATACTGCAAATATAAAAAACGTCAAGTACTGACTTAGTTCTGCGATGTAGCCTCTAGGACAAGCTTGTTTTCAAAAAGTGCAGTATCGAAACTTTCTAAGGGGTGAATAAGCACCCTTCATTTAGATTCTTCTTGAGAAAAACAGCTCATGGTCATGAAACTCAATTTTGCAGCAGAAATTACCTTGATCAAGTTACGAGATACAGTGTGTATTGAGGTGCGACCTTCAGATGGGAAAACCGTGACGGGACATGCCGTGACACGTCGCGTTACCGTGACCGTGACATGCTGGTATTGCGTGACGCGCAATACCAGCATGTTAATAAGAAAGAAGGGTCTGCTCTAAAAGCTGTGGATTAATCGAAATAAGCGAGTTCGGAAATTAATAAGCAAGCCCATTGATCTATTCTCCAGTTTTGATCGTGAAACAACCTTTATAAATAACCAATATGTATTGAAAAAAGGCCACTCTATTTAAAGTAAATTAATTCATGATTATCACTACGAAAAGGCTTCTTTTCGAAGCCACATAATTCGTCGAGATGAGTGAGTGTGTGACTGAGTGAGCGGTAAACATTTAAGTTATCTCCTTTTGTGATTTCAAGCTTATAGCCACTAGCGCATCATGTTTTCAGTTCTTTCCGTGACATTACAGAAGACAGCAGTAGACGATGAACATTACACAATCATTTCAGGACTGCACGTGACTAGAGACAACACTTTTCCTTGCAGAAATGTCTTGACAGATACATCATGAAACTCATAGGAAAAGATTTTTTTTCTTGAAATAATTACCAACGCGTAATTTAACTCAAACTTTTCATTGCAGAAACATCTCAATAGGTATGATCTGCACATCAAGGAAGCTTTGAAGAAAATATTTTTTGTTTGAAAGGAGAGCATTTTACCGTTTGAATCAGTGACTTATACCCTAAAGAGCCGCTTAATTTGCGAAGTGAGCAAGCTGCGAGATTTACAGGGTGACTCTATTCAATGGAATGATAGGAAACAGTCGAACGGTAGAACGGTGGAATGGCGGAACCGAGAAATATCTTTAAACGCGGAATGCTTTGTTGTATGAGACAAAAATCGTGCAAAAATGTATTTGCAATAAAGTAATAATATTAGTTATAATTAGGAAGCAGAAGTACTTTCATAAATACCTCACTAGCAGACGATAATGCGGAGTTTGGAATTTTTCCATCTTCCAATCCCATCTTATCCATGCAATCTTATTGAATAAAAAGACGGGAAAGGGATGAATAAGGTTGACGCAAAGTATAATCAGAGATTAAGGGCAGTTTATTTTAATGAATTCAAAGATATTTGTTGACTGTTTCTACCAATTGTAAACTTGTACCTCAAAATCATTGTAACAGACATCACAGTACAGTTCTTCAATTGTTTGAACAAGTATTACTAGTAAATAAAGTTGATCTGGAGCTTCGGTCTGTGTCTGACTTATAGGTTTCTAGTTCTTGATGACCGCAAAATGATAAGAAAAAAGATCGAGTTAAATCAGACAGTTTCAATATGCTCATTCTTTTTTATTTCTCTACTTACACTTTGAATTAGGCTTATATCAAGTAAATAAAACTCACAGCTCACTAATTTTTCCCCTTCACTTCTCTGTAAGTCTATTGGGAAAACTGGTGTTGTATAAGATACTGCATTCATACCCATGCAATTTTTTTTTATTTGAGAGACACAATTGAATATACTTTACTCTCCGAACATACCTCCAGCAGCAAAACCTGAAAAATAATTCGAAATTATAGTAAATCGACTGATATTCATTACAAATACTGCATAAAAATTTTGGCCTGACTGAATCAAAATCGTCTCTTAGAATAAAAGATATTTAAAGTCTAATTCACGTTGTTTGCAAGATGCAATGTCATCTTTAGGAAAAGTTTGAGGAATTCCGGAACGATATTCTGGATATTCAGGGGAGGCGTGCATGAGTAATTAAGATGAGACCCGCTGAAAGTCACTTTGTAATAACTAGTTAATAATAGTAATAGAAATAAAAATGGAAATAATGTTTAAGAATTTAAGAATGGACATTCTACTAGGTGGCTCTTCTTTTCCTCTGTTTCCAGATCGAATTGGAATTTGAAATTTTGGATTTAGTGGAAAACCGGAGGATCCAGAGGAAGAACCTCGAAGCAAGGACAAAAACCAACAACAAACTCAACCCACACACGTGACACCAAGTCCGGGAGTGATTGAACCCAGGCCACAGTGGTGGGAGGCGAGCGCTCTCACCGCTGTGCCATTCCCCACTCCCCAGCATAAGTGTGATAAACAGCCACTTTAATTGAACCTGCGCACAGCATGAATACAAAACAAATAATTTTTGGTTCAATTTAAGCATTTATAACGACTTTGGTGAAACTCATTGCTTATTTCGATATGAATTTTTAAAAATGGGCAGATTCATAAAATAAAGCTTATTTGAAGAACTGAGACAGAAAATATCTGACTTATCTGCCAGCCTAGACCAATCAATCAGCTAGTCATCTGAGGTATTTATATGTCTCGCTCTAGAACAAGTGGGGAATTACAGAATTCTAAACTAACCAAAAATTGAAAGTCAAAATGATCGTAACTACTTCAAAATGATAAGCTTTTGCGTCAAAAATAGACGATTCGTGATATCAGAATAACAAGTGTTATTCTGTGTTCTGTTCTGAAACTAGTGTTCTGAAACTAGACGGGAAGAGTGCCAAATGAACTTAAAAATATTTCAGCTTTCGGCCCTTGAAAAAAAAATTAAAAGCTTTATTTTAAAAAGATTTAAAGCTGGACATTGTGAATAGATCAGCGCGCAGTAACACTGGTTTTCGATTTGAATTAGGGGTAGCTCTCATAAAGGTAGCTCCAAACCAAACAGTGGCTCTGATACTGAAATGGTACTGATACTGAACGATAAAACCTCGACGAAACACGTGAAAGGCGAGGCGACGAGACTACTCAAATCAGGCTATCTCCTGACGTTTTCTTTTAATTACTGTTAAAGATAGAAAGAGAGACTATGTACCCGACGGACGTAACCATAATCAGTTTATCCTATAGATTAATAGCTTACCAGTAATTTTATCTGTCACTCCCAGGAGTCAGGGAAGCTGCCTCCCACCAAATAGGAATAAAAAAACATGACTTACCTACTTCAAGAAATAGTCTGAGCAAGATTACAAATTTCACTCCAGCGCCCATTTTGAGTTTACAACGAAATGTTACAACAGTGGTCGCCTCAAGGAAAACTCTATGGTATCTCAGACTTAACGTAAACTTGTAATGACTTAAACGTGTAATGGAACAAAATGGGACTCTAACTTGATGAGAACCAAAGAAAATTCACGGAATACATCAAGACGTGTCACTTTCGGTTAAACGAGCCAATCAGAGTCTACATAGAAAAAAGTCGAATGGTAGTCATTTACGACTGAAAATGTTTTAAGTGACCATCTATGTGGCCATGGTATCAGGGTTGTTGATTAAACTAGGAAACAATTGCTTTTTTTCTCCTTTAAAATTTGTTTACACAATTCCGCTGTGTTTGAATTAGTTATTCCTTTGAACATTGAAAAAGAGTAATATTCCTTGCACTGTAACAAATTAAATGAAGAAAAAAAGGTGTTACTAAAATATGTTTATCATAAGTGTAATTCAGAACTTAAAATTTTACACATTATCTTCAAACAGTGAATTCAATTTTACAGCAATATTCTCAAGTAATATTGTAATAGTAAACACGTCTCTTACATCTAGACGCTCAAATATTTGTGTCTTTTTTAAGTGGTACATAACTATTTGTTTTTTCTGAACAACCGTTCGCATGAAAGTTGAAAATGGTCGGAGTATCTTAACTAGTAAACAGAAACATCAATTAAATAGTATCATTACCCTTAAAATACCCATGTTTCCTTTTTTTTAACATTTTGAACGATTTTAGGTTGTTTACGCTTGATTCAAAGGAAATTAAAAGACCCCCACACTCAAACTGTGAAAAGATCCCTCAATAGGAAAATGACATTTACAACATAAATATAAGCACGTTCTCTTGCAGTTCTGATCGCAATTAATTGTGCTTATTTACTTTGATTTGAAAGACAATGGAAAACGTATCGGAGGTTAGCTTTAGGTTAGGAGGTTAGCTTTGCCCCCCAGATTATGATAATGTCGAACTTTGAACATTGCACTTTTTAAATGAAAGCGCTGTATTTCTGATACGTTCATTTCCGTGAAGTTGAAACTAAGTCTTCGTCCCTTTGTCATTTTGTTACTTTTAAATTGCCAAAATTGAAGGACCGTTGAAGAAGTTTTGTTTCGCACTTTGCCGCATGTACTATTGTAAACATAGTATAATCACTATATGCAAATAACAATTTTGTTTGTATATCTTGGAACTGCTATATGCAATGCCAGTAAGATAATCTTTATCTATCTTAAACATATCTCGTATCAATAAAATTTACAACATAAATGTAAGCACGTTTTCCTGCGGCCCTGATAACATTTAGTAATGTTTTATTATCTTGTTTTAAAGAATAATGAAAAAGGTATGGGAGGTTAGCTCAGCCCCCTAGGTTATGATAATGAATAACTTCGAACAGGTTACTTTTTAAATGAAAGCGCGTATACTATTGTCTTATACGAAGTCTTCATCCCTTTGCCATTTTGTTACTGTTAAACTGTCAAAATTGAAGGGCCATACAGAAATGTTTTGTTTCAAGTTTTTTTTCAATGTTTTTTGCAGCCACGCACACTATTGTCAACACAGTATAATTACTTCATGCAATGACAATTCTATTTGTCAATCTTTGAACTGCTATATTTCTCTAACACCAGGTGATACTTAGAACCCGTGCAAAACGTTTTTCATGTACGAGCTGTTTGTCTAAACACACACCGTACCAAATATTGGTGGGTTTGTAACCACTCAAAGCGTTAGAAGTACAGAAATTCGAAGGTGATCTTCCGTCCTCATCAAATTTAGTTTTGCAAGACTCATGCAAGTGATATTTTAAGTTGTCCTTTAATGGTATGTTGGGTAATTGATTAAATTGACGATTCGATTGAGGCCCCGCGCTACTGTATTTCTTTTTCTGTAACAAGCTTTCGCCGATCTACGACATCGTCATTCGTCGTCATTCCCTGACGATGCCGTAGATCGGCGAAAGCTTGGAACAGTAAACGAAATACAGTAGTGCAAGGCCTCAATCGAATCGTCAATTCAATCAATTACTCATACAGTTGAAATGAGCTCAATGTGCCGAATGTGCTTTCCTTTCCCATTTTGCTTGGCGGCGCATCAAAGCGGCCGTCCACGTCAAGAATTCACAAAACCACAAGATTTGGCGGTCAGATCACAGTCAGATACAGAAAACTTGGCAACAGAAAAAATGCTAGTGAGTTAGGCCATATACTCGGTTTACATGTGAAAATTGTCCTTATAATGTTAGATAAACGTCTTCCAAAGCTCTCGGTGTGGAGCGAAATTCTTATATCGGTTACGGTGCGTAAATTATATATTTATCATATGGCTTAGGTTTGTGGCCGATGTAACGCGCGCTCTGATTTGCTGAGTGAGATCAACGCAGGGTATTAAGCTCCCGTAAAATCATGGGCTGATTACGGATTTTGCGAAAAGGTAAGAACACAGAATTTCTTTCAAGGATTGCGACTTTTTCTTAGAGGAAAACCGTCAGTGTCAACAACGTAATTTTTCGTCGATTGATATGGGAAGATGTTAACCTTGGGAACTACAGCAAAGGTTTTAATGATATCCACAGAAAATAGGCTTAATGATGACAAAACCTAACAGGCAAACTTGTTTCCAACGATGAGGTTCAAATGGTGAATCCTTCTTCAAAAATTCCTTGAACGACTTTTTCTTTAAAAATTTAATATTTTATATTTCGTTAAGTAAAAATGCTGACGCCAACTCGCAAAAATAAGTGTGACGTTTGAAAAAATATTCAGGGACTGTATTCCGTAGCGTTTACATTTTCATTCACCAAGAGACCTTACATACTTGGGCCAGTGGTTTGAGGGAGACTTCTGTCTTTTCTGTATGCACTGACGGAGTTTTGCCCTGAGAATCGGACAAAATTTCTCTTAATAAGTTGTGACACCGCTACACTGAAATAAATTTACGCTTTCGAGAGCAATTTTTTTCTCGAAAATGCATTTGTCTTCCTGACGGAATGCTGAATAGTGCACCGACTTCATTTGCGTTGATAGACCGTGGATTTAAATCGATGAATGAAAAAGTAAGCGCGCGCATCGCCGGATGTAAGGTAACGACTTCTGATTGCATGTATTTCCCTTTTCTTCGGAAAATGTTGTAAGCCAACACTTAGGAAGACGTTCATTCAATTCATATTTTTAGTTTGTACTTCGCGAATGGCTGGATGTGAATACCGTCCCCCACAGCATCAAAACTTCAGCATAACGTATGTTCCAGGTGGAACTTCACTATTTTGCCGTGGGGGTTTTCGTTCTCGGACCGCGCAAATTGTTTTGATTTTAAGTTGCTCATTTGCAGGGACGACCACGAAATGTACACAGTTTTAAAACGCACGTGCTAAGCTATTGTTCAGGGCCCAGTTATACAAAGAGCGGATTACACTATCCAACGGATAAATCGCTATCTAGCGGATAAGTAATAACAAAACTTATAGCGTTATCCGCCGGATAGAGATTTATCCTGTGGATAGCGTTATCCGATCTTCTTTTGTTTTGCTACGTCCTCGTTGCCGTCGCCGTCTTGTTTTGCTAAAGTTCCCTCTGACTTGCTGCTATTTTATGACCATTAGTGGCCAGAGAAATAAAGAAAAATAATTTTAAACTCGATTATATTTCTTATTATTTTGGTAACTAGCGCTTCTAAGAAGAACCTCTCATCCTTCTTTGGGACCATGGTGTGGATCCTTAGGATACTTAAGTAAACGATCATCAACTCAACTCCTTTCGCATGAAAGCCTTGGAAATCAATTAGCCACTGGTGGGGGGGGAGCCAATAAGGTGGTACATCTTGCTTTTTTTTTAATCGTCATGATAACGCAAAAGAAGTGGAAAATCTACCACAAATCTATGATAATCCGATGATGATGGCGCAGCGTAACTACGCCAAACGCTTCTCCTGTCAAATGACAGCGCAGTGTAGAGGTTTATAGCGATAGAAATAAGAGTGTTATAGCCAAGGACTGAGTAAAAGATTATCATTTCAAATACTTATGATCTTTACGTGGTAAGGAATATTTGAAAAAAACAATTTTAAACTTCATTATGTTTCAAATTGGTTGGTTAAATAGTGCACTCTAGAAGAACTTTTAATCTCACTTTAGGATTGCAGTGGGGATCATTGGGATACTTATGAAAACGATCATCAACTCATGCAAATTCTTGTGATTAAAGATTGGTAAGAGAAATATGAGCAAAGAATCTTAAAATTGGTATAATCGCAAATCCACTTAGTAACCAACGAGGTACGGTGCGAAAGGTACTTAGCTCTCTCTTAAAGGTTGTGGCACGTACAGCTGGATACCTAAGAAGGCAAAGTGTTATCACTGAAGACTGAAATTCCCAAGATTATATCGTGCTGAGAGAAATAAGAGGGGAGAGTTTTAAATTTTATTACAACTCTAATTAATAATCAGCGCAGCATGAATGAAACCGCCTTGAAGTATTAGGACATTTCTTCACGATCAAGTCTGGATAACAAGTATAAATGTATAAAGGGTTTTTATTATAAAAACTTGAGATTATAGGACGGTAAATAAAGTAAGAGAGAGGAATTTTACACCTTAAATATCTAGTTGATGAACAGTGGCAATGTAAGTTGAAAAAAAAAGAAAAACCGTCCACTGAGAGGCATTAGTATTCCTCTGTAGAATGGTGACCGAGGTGTCCAGTATAACGAAACGATTTGATTACAAATTCTTACGGATATACTGTGGTAAGTGAGATAAGAGAAAACATTTTTAACTCAGTTGATAATTGATATTGGCAGTGCAGCTTTCAAAAGATCGTCTACGAGGTACAATTGTGTGTATTGGAATTCCTCTCTATTTTCGTGGCATAGGTTATTAGGATAACCAAGTCAAAGATTATCATAACAAATTCCTATAAGATTATACAGTGGTAGGAGAAATGAGAAAAAATAATTTAAAATTCAATTACATATCTACTTGTTTTTGATCACCAGTGCAACTTTAAAACCCCCCCAAAGGTCTCGGCATCCATATCATGCCTGGCTGCTAGGATAGCTGGAATAACTAATTAAAGTGACAGGTACTATTTCAAATACTTATGATTTTGGCGAGGTAAACGAAACCATAAATCATAACTTTGACCAGGGATGAACAATGTTAAAGGTTGGGGACGTTACTATAATCGTGGAGAAAAAGCTAGAAAAGGCGCGTGGTGGACGGCTGACGCCAAACAGGTTTTAATGTAAACAATACTGTCGAGCAAGGAATTCTTTCGTAAGTACCGAAAAACTAAACTCATTAGTACTGAACGGAAGATACTCTTTAGCATGCATTAAGAAAGCTGATAACACCATGGGTTGAAGCTGTTATAGTGCAATAGAGTTTCTACAGAGAGATAAAATGTATTGTTATGTTTGGAGTATTTAAAGTTCTCATGTCTTTATCGAGCTATTTATATAACTGATAACAGTTATTTGTATGAGTTTTTATCTCTTTTGCACCAAAAAAATGTGCTAATTAGCCTATGCTTCTCGAGACTGACGGAAGTACGGCTTGAGAGAGAAGCAGGCTCAAAATAAACGCCTTCTCTGTTTGCAAGAAGGAACCTTTTTTTCTCAGTACAATAGGCTCTAAATTTATCCGACTGACAAGCAGCGCTACAAATCTAGTGCCACCTGGCAATTGAGGATGGAAAATGGAGAGACGAGAAGGAACAATGTTAAAAAGCAAATCTTGGGGTATTACAATGAGGAAAGTTTTACATTTTTTGACTCCTTTGTAAGGTCAAAGTAATTCATCTTAAATCATAACAAGTGGAAAGCCTAGATACCAAGGTTAATTAGGTAGAGTTATGCAAAGTTTAATTTTGGCTGTTTCGGTCTATTTATGGTAGTGAATTGTCTAGTTTTAGCTTCCTTTCTTTATTTTCTACCTCAAACCAGAAAAATATTTGCAGGTGATAATTTGGCGAGGCCGTTATTAAAAGTGGACTGAAAGCTTTAGGTCGTGAAATATTGCACGAAACAAAACTGCCCCTCTCTACTTTCACGGTATGTAGAACGTTGAAAAGAACTTGTACATCAGAGCGAGCTTGCAGCGTATTTTAATCTTGAGTTAATAACTTGTATGTTTTAGTCTTTCGAAAAGTTTTTGTATCTGCTCTGCTAGGCGAGTGTGTTTTGATAACAAGGTATTTTTTCTCCGCAGATAAGACAACCGCAATCTTCATAAAAAGCTGTCGTGCTTTCTGTCACCTGGTAGTAGAAAGTGAGAAAGGATAAAGTGAAAGTTATTTCATTGCGAGGCAAAGGTTACAAAGGATTTCCTGTTGAAACGCTTTTTCATTTACATTCCAAAGAAGGTTAATATATGATTAACTCATACAAACAAAGGCAGAAAAAAAAGCTAAATCTCATTAAAGCTTTCTCTTAAAGTGTGAGCCTCTTCTGAAGAAAGTGTCGTTCATGATCACAGCTTTGGGTAATTGTGGCTTTCGAGGAATATTTTCCCATACTTAATTTTCCTGTATAATCTCTCAACAGGAATTTGTGCCCTTGGAATTGGGATGGTTGCCAATCTAAAACGGAAAAGCTTACAATAGGTACGTACGTAATCATGTGTTTAAATAAATCCGATTTCTTGCAATAAAATTCGTGTTTTGCGCTGTCGTTGATCTGAACTCATTAACAAATCATGGAAGTGCTAACCCTCGTAGCCGCTCTGCTTGCTTTGAGCATCACCCCTTACGGTGAGTGGAAATTGCAGTGTTAGTTTACCAAAAAGCTCCTTCACATATTTTCGGCAAAACCTGATCTTAATCAGGGTTTAAGACATACTGGAAATTTTCGAACAAAGCTGGCTAGCACCCTTTTGTGGATAAAACTCTTTAGAGAAATAATGAAAACCTCACATTTCCGGAACAAAATAAAAAGAAGTGCATTTTTCATTGGAATAACAAAGTATGTCCCGTCGTTAACGGCCAAGTGAAGCTATCGTTTCGGTACGGAAAACCATCATTAAAGAGACAACCTGGCTACATTTTTGATACATGTAACTTCGTTTTCTGAGTACACCTTTCTTCGGTATGTAATTAAGAGCTATACTATAAGGTGGAGACCTCGAACAGTGATGCTCTAAGGTAATTCTCTAATTTTTCTCGTGGATTGGTTTTGGATGCGTTTCTTTCTTTTGAATTAATTCTTTTTTTACTCCAAACTTTTTTCCTAATTTTCCCAAACAGCCCACTCCGTGAAGCTCTTGTACGCCAACCGACATGACATAAGGATTATTTCAACAAATCAAAGTGACCAAAAGGAAACTACGATCGTGGACACCCTTGAGGATGCTATTGCGTTGGACTTTGACTATACGGAAGGATTGGTATTTTGGGCCGACGTTGGTCAGCAGAAAATCGAACGCGTTCGTATTTCACAAGAGAAGAGTGGGGAAATCGAAGATGTCATTTCGTTTGGGTTAAAGAAGCCTGAGGGTTTAGCCGTAGATTGGGTAGGAAAAAAGTTGTATTGGACCGATTGTAGCGATTCTGACTGGGAAACGAACAGAATCGAAGTTGCAAATTTCAATGGATCAGATCGCAAAGTTCTTTTTTGGAAAGACTTGGATTTCCCCAGGGCTATTGCCGTGGATCCATTAAAAGGGTACGTAAAACCTGGTTTCCTCATTAAAATGCCGTTCTAACAATAAATTTTCCAACAAATAACTCAATGAAACTAAATTTGAAACACAACGAACGAACTACATTAGTCGGAACAAACACTATTGGACACAAACTTTCAAGAATCTTTCTCTTTGAAGAAGTCTATCGATCAAGATTTATCTCAGTTTATCCTTATTGGCAAACTGATGTCATCTGAAAGAGACGATAACAACATCAAAGGCATTTTACGCTTTTGATAAATGTCCAAAATTGGCAAAAGCACGATGAACTATATAAATCTTGCCAACTCAAAAATAGTTTTGGCGAATAATTTCCTAAATCAATCCTCAACCCTCTTAACATGGGTGGATCGTCACGCGTCGATTGGAGACACACAAGCAACAAGCCAATTAAACTTCAGGATCATGTGGATATCATGCATATATCTGGCAATGATAATGCACAATGATAACATAATCTAAGTTTGATTTTTGTATCCCTTTGATTTTTTACTTTTATACTGAGAAAACAAGCACTCATAACATCACGTATGGAGCAGTTGGTTGAAAAAAACGCATTCTAAACCATATTCAATTCCGCTGAACGTTGTATCCAAACGTTGGGTTTTGTGAACAAAGTCACGAAAGCTTGTAGCTAATTTTCTCTGGAAAGGCATCCATTCAGTTGTCATAACTGCGGTCTAAGTTAGAATCCATTTAAAGAGGAATAGGCTTAGGGTGTTAGTAACATGGGTAGAACTTGTCAACAGTAGTCCTAAACTGGTTTCGTGGAGAAATCTTTATCCATTTTCCGTGCCATTGGCAAACTCCAGCCACGCACAAAAAAAAAGGGCACGACATCTAGAAAGAACTAGGATAATCTGCTGTAAAACGTGACCTACGGAAAATATCCTAATTTCCATTGCCCTAAAATCTGACATGAAATTTTCCTAATTATCTTGTTTTTTTAAATTCGTCGATCACGTAAGGAGTAGAAATACATGTACGTGCTATAGAATTGTGAGCAACTTATGCGCCCAAACTTTTTTTGCTCTTAGCGAGACTTTTCTCGCAAACATTTCTCCACATTTAAGTGAAATGCTTTTCATGCAGCCCCAAAATCTTAACGTTATTTTAAATACTTTTCATTAATTATGAGTTTGGAAGGAATTTCCTGAATTTCATGCTCATTTAGTCTATCAATGAGTCAATTCTAATTTTAAAGTAGCCCCAAAAAAAAAATACAGTGCTGGCAACAGCCAAGATATGTTTGATTGTAAAAGCTTTCAGCTAACCCTCTTAGCACTCATCCTATTATTTAAGAGTTCTTCTGGCTTTCTGGTAAGCTGTTAAAACAGATTGGCCACCCCACTTGACCTGTTGAGATTTGAAATAGCAATTGCCAGCGATTACAAGTGTCAGTAACTTGGATGCAAAACAGAACCTACATGGTCGCCGGGGATGATTTGGCAATTGTGAGATCTGTATCGAAAAAAGGGTGTGTAACTCAAAAACCACAATATCCGAAGTTTACAAAGGTGGTAAATCAAATTCCATCAAGATACGAAGAGACAATTTATCGAAAACTTGAAATTATTATGCGACTACGTTTGTTGACCTATTAAGTCCTTGGAATCATCGGAAAGACCTACTGGAAGATAATTAGCATAGGTTTATTAGACATTCTTTCATACCCCAGCATGCCAGGCGTCTACCAGAGGCTTAATTTTTTTTCCTATTGTTTTAGTCACACATTTCTTTATGCGTGTTTTTCTTTTTTGCATGGTTTCTCTTCATCATTTTTTACATTGTCTACTTTTTTATGTTTCTTTCCTAGCCCTTGCTCCATTATTTTTTGTCTTTTTGGGTTTTGAACAAACTTTCAGTTTGATAAATAGTAACTATTTCAAATGAACGCCATTATTATTATTAAATTTTTTTTACGGCTAGGTATATGTTTTGGACAGACTGGGGAGAGAACCCCAAAATAGAGCGAGCTGAAATGGACGGCTCCAATCGTCGAGTCATCATTGAAAAAGACGTTCATTGGCCAAATGGGTTAGCAATAGACTACAAAGCTGAGAAAATATACTGGGTGGATGCAAAGTTGTTTCACATAGCGGCTGCCAACTATGATGGTACAAAACGTAAGAACATGTTCAAGTCTTCAACCCAATGCACACTGGCTCATCCATTTGCTATGACACTGTACGAGAACAAAATTTTCTGGACAGATTGGACAACTAAAGGGATACACTGTACGAACAAGAGCTCTCTCGAATGTCGAGAAATCTGGACCACTAGCTATTCGCCCATGGATATTCGTACATACGAGCCACAAAGACAGAGGCAAAAGCCAGGTAACGCACCTATCTGCATCAATCTTCCTCACCCTAAGCAATCAACATTCAATCTTTGTTCATCATTATCTCTTTAATAAATATCTATCTTCGAAGTTGTTGTTTTGTGTTTCTCCCCAATGTGATAAAAATTTTTTCGGCTCCTAAAAGAAGAAGAGGGAGATCGCGAGTTATAATCCATCAAAAATTTTTGCTTGCGTGCGATTGTCCTAAATCCATTACATGACTCAATATTCCAAAGATAAAACATCGGAAGATTCGGTGATATTCCCCAAGTGATATTCCCCAATTAAGAACCTTGCCTCCGACAATGGCCCTATGAAAAGCTTATGATGCTGAATTCAAAATTAAATATCATCTTGACGCATTCGAGAGTCCGCATCCTTAGCATTCTTTTGATTCATACTTTAGGTCAAAATCCTTGCAACTCCCCCACCAATGGAGGATGCAGTCATTTGTGTTTGTTGAATGCTCGAGGTCATTCCTGCGCATGCCCAACTGGAGTGAAACTGTTGCCAAATGGTAAAACTTGTGCGAAAGGTGAGTTGGATGTAACATGAGAAACTATCTTGTACTGATGATGCTGATAGCTCTTTCCGCTTAACAGGTTTCGAGACAAATTTTAGATAACTCAAAATTGCTGTGAAGGCTCTGATTGCCGTCATACTTAATTACAGAACTCTTTTTGAAAAAGCTGAGGATTTTTCTGAACCGCCAAGAAATGGCGAGCTTTAATATATTGTTGAGGAAAGAAGGATGATTAGATTTGTTCAAATCCGGATACGAGTTTTATTTTCACAGGAAGTGCTAAGTTTTTACCCAAATCTTTCTGTCTTTGCTCCTGTTTGGTAACGTAGAGTGAACGCGTTACAGCACATGAAAATTAAATTGCGAATTCGTTAGGTTTGTACGTCAGAAGAGATCTTCTTACTTTCCTTGAGTAGTGTAAACTGAAAAAGTGGACCAAATCCTGGCACGCAACCAAACAGAGCCAGCTTGTAACATGGACGAAAGATGTGATCCACAACCTGTTCCTCTAAACTGGTAGAATCGACGTCAGTGTGCTTTCCACGGTATTAGGGAGTTTAAGATTTATGACATGTGGGAAAACGTTGCCGAAAAAACGAAAGTTTTTCTTTAATATAAAATCTCGTCAGTAGCCAGATGCGTCTACCGTTTCTGACGATGCGACATTTTCCCTTCGGCAGAACATGCGAATGTAGTGTTGATTTCGATCGAAAACATGACTAAATTGCTGCCGAGGTTACCTCTCTAAGCGGAAGTAGAAGTTGGTGATTTTACGATTCTGTTCTGTACGGAAATGCTATGAAATTTATTAAGTTTAAAACGCACGTGCTGCTCTTGAGATATTTTGTTTGGCTACGTCCTCGTTGCCGCCCGTTGTGATTTCCTTTAAGTCCCTATTTGTCGTTAATCACTTTTGTAAAAATCTTCAAACCGTGGGCGACATTAAGCCAAACCTTACAAATCCGTCAACCCTGTAATTACAAGGACTGATAAATACGTAAAGGAGTTCTGAGAACTGAGAAGCTTATCAGCTTGAGAGTGTTGTTCTCTTAATATTACAACAAATACTTCAGTCAAATTTACAAGGAAATGAATGACAGCCAGAAGGAAGGGTTACTGATCGGATATTGGGGGTTATCGGGTTTACTTATTCAAACCCGCATTATTCTTGCAGGGTTGTGCCAAAAGTGTAATCAAATCCTCCCAAACATGCAATTTGGATGCTCTTTTTCCTGACCGTGATATAATTATCAATTGGATTATGATCTCCAGATTTCTATCGCGTGATAGTTGATGAAGGTGAAGCAAAGCTCTCATGAACTTGCGCATAAAGAAATCGAGAGCGAATGATCTAATTGTTTTATCATAAATTTACTAGCTAGTCGTTTGGTGCTCAGCTCCACAACGATGAAGGTTCGTGCTATTTTTCTCCTGTTTACAACAGCGTACCATTTTGCCACGAACTCTAATCTCAGCTACCATCAAGACATAATTTACGTTGCCACTCAGATGGCAGCACTTATGATAGCACGGTAGTACTTTCGCGTTAATTTCTAATGTCCAAGATAAATGTCTCGTTGTCATGCGACGACAAACTATGCAAAATATTTTCTTATGCGAACCAATGAAGCTGTCATTTTCATGATAGGTCCTGCTAATTTCCTATTGGTGGCAAGAAAAGTGGACTTGCGCCGTATATCACTCGACACGCATGATCTACATGATGTACTTTTGCCAGTTTCCGGTGTGAGACAAGCTGCGGCCATTGATTTCGATCCAGTGGACAAATTTGTTTATTGGAGTGATAATGAAGCGCTTGAAATAAAGAGATGCAGAATGGATGGGAAAGGTACGTAATTCTCATTGATTATTCTTCGTGTGTTACAGAAACCTTGATGTAATTCTGAGTTATCTCGACAACACAGAGAGCTGCCCTAAGGTTAAAGTAACAATAATGCATTGATATAGTTTATTCCTAATTTTATATTCACTTTGGAAGAAAGCATCAAAACTGAACATAGGGAAAATGAGAGCCCGTAACCGTGTTAAACCACCTTGAAAGATTCTATCACTACACTCTAGGTGTAGACGTTGTTCACAAATTCAACCTATGTTTTGAAGGCACTTAGCGAGCAGCTTGTGCTCTTTTAAAATATTTGTTGCTTTTGAAGGTCCCGTAATTAATTTACATTGTTTTTCTTGGATTAGATGTTGAAGTAATAGTATCAAGTAAACTTGAATATCCCCAAGATGTTGCAGTCGACTGGGTGGCGCGGAATTTGTACTGGTCAGACACAGGAAATGATAGAATTGAAGTCAGCAGACTGAATGGGTCAGCTAGGAAAGTTCTCATCGATGACAATCTTGACGAGCCAAGAGCATTAGCATTGGATCCAGCTCATGGGTACTTTTTTAGTAAATACTGGACGAGGTTTAGCAAAATATCGAATTTTCCGGTAGCGACCCTATGAATTAGTTCCAAATCACGGAATTCTCCGAAAAACCAACTCAATGATTTTTTTGTTATTCGATTGCCGTGTTTCTTTATCATAATTATTTTCGATAATCGCCCTCTGACAGCTTAGCTGCTCAGTCTCCCAGTGGTTTCAATGAAAACAGGTTACCGGCGGTCTATCGCTGTCTGTTGAGCCTGTTGAGGCTCTCGTGTTTGTGTTTCGCCTTATGTCCCCCGTCATGGGCACAGCCCCCTATCACGCTATAGGCCGCTGCGAATCGAAAAAAAATTATTGTAACTCCTGATGATCTGCGATTTTCGCCAAAGATTGCGAGAACAACTACGCATGAGTAGGAACATGATTTAAAGGCATTACGCATGACCATACCATCATTAACTTCGGCAGCAATATTTGCAGGTCTCTCGTTGGGCTCTTGGCTAATGGGGAGGAAAGGAATTTTTAAAGATATTAATGATTTAGATGATTAGTACAGTATAAAGTAACCGGCTATGAGTACACATGACTTCCAAAATAAATATAGATTTCATTTTGGAAAAGTCCAAGATGCAAGTTGATACAAATAGAAACTTTTAACATCGTGTAATGTTCCTCAAATGTTCTTAATTCTACCAGATACATCTTCTGGACAGACTGGGGAAAGAAGCCGAAGATTGAACGCGCAGGACTGGATGGGAGTCGTCGCATTACTTTGGTGAACTCATCTATAGGTTGGCCCAATGGTATCACCATTGATTACCGTCGGGGTAAAATCTACTGGGCAGACGCTAAGTTAGACAAGATAGAGGTCATGAACTTAAATGGGAAAAACCGTAAAGTCATCGTGGATACAGATGTACCACACGTTTTTGGTCTGACAATTCTCCATAATCGTCTTTACTGGACAGATTGGCAAAAAAGATCAATTGAAAGTGTGAATAAACGAAACGGCAGAGGCAGAAGAGTTATCAGAAAAGGTGTAACCAGTCTAATGGGACTCAAGGCAGTCGACCTTCACTTCCGTTATGGTAAAGGTGTTCTTTGTTGTTACTGTTGTTGTTGTTTGTTCCTTCTATCCAATTGTGAACCATTGAATTAGATTGAAGTTAAGACAGACGTCTACGTTCACGCTCAATATCTAACTTTCACCTGGCGAAGGAAGTTATATCTCTCCCTACTTCACCAATCTCTTTGAACGATCTCCCCCCCCCCCCCCCCCCCCCCCCTTTTTTTTAATTTCCTCTTCAGGGCTGTCTTTCATTGACCTGCGTTTTTTGGGGTGCAGTAATGCACAAGATCGCTTGGACTTCGTCCGTACCCTCAGATTCACTGAACAGCAAATTCTTAGGAATACGATGCCCGGTGGGATACCCCCGCACTAAATTTAGGCTCGAAGCCCACGGCAACCAGGTGTGCCGCACCCAAACAACATCGGTGGAAATGAGTCCACATGACTATAAAAACACCTTGCATGGTTCTCTGCCCAGCATGACGCTGGTAATAGAACCCTACAGGAAATCGCTCTTATGCATTTAGGAACTCTTGATTAAAGAATGTTCTCAACTTTTTATTAGGTGTTAATCCTTGCCAGAGAAATAATGGGGGCTGTAGTGATTTATGTTTGTTCGGACCGTCAGGAGTTAAATGTGAATGTCCAACGGGAATGAAACTACTTGTTGACAAAAAGAATTGTATTTGTAAGTATTTTATATCTTCATTATTGTTTAGACTCTCTAGTTGTCTTTATTTTTCATTTCATATTTTCTTTATGAATCCCAAAGTGATAATACAGTCGACTCCCGTTATTGCGGACACCCTCGGGGGGAGACTTAGTGTCGGTAACAGCGCGAGTCCTCTATAGCAGGTTGCGAGATGAAATATATAGGTTTTTTTATGATATGTAACTACGCAAACAAGTTTCTGACGTGGCCTCACGATCCTGAAAAAGACTCGGTCGCAAGCAAGAAATTCTCATGTTCACACCCAATCGAATAATGGTCTCTTCATTTTCCTTTATCGTAATGTCACTCTATATGATGTGAGTCTGGATTTTGGACGATGTATTTTAAGTGTCCGCTATAGCAAGAGAAAAAACAAGTGAAATGTCGCGCTGGGGGCATGAAAGTGTCCGAAATTCCGTAATGGCGAGAGTTCGTAACAAAAGTTTATTTCAATCGTTTCTTTATGCATTTCGCTTTATGTTATTGGGCACAAAAATTTTTTGGGCCATTCCGGATCCCATTTTAACCCTCACCTTATGGCTTAAATGAGGGAGAGTGGTACCGAGTATTGTAGTAGAGGTTACCAAACTAGGTGCGGTAGCGAAGTGTGATTTCTTCGAACCGGTTTCTCATGGCGGTTCTTCCGTAGTAACGTCGTTTCCGCGAACATTAACCCTGTATTTTTTTTTATTTATACTATGTGAAATTAAGTGACATTTCATCTTACGCAAATTTTTAAAATTGCAGGAGTTAATTGACTGCTTGACAATGATGTTGGAGAACAAACGATTAAAGATAAGAAGACGAAAGAACCATTTAAAATATATACTGCCAGATAAATGTAGAACTAATTCGTATAGTCTCACCTATAAAAACTAGGTTACACATTCAAATAAAAGTGAAATATTAGAGGTACGTAATTTAGCGGATATGCATATGTAATACCAAAGCATTGATATCTGAGTGATACTTGGTCGTGTTAAGAGGCTTTCACAACTTTTAATCACCTTATCGCAGTTATTATATTTTTTTTCCGATGACAATTTTCACTTATTCCTTAAACTTCCATAAGGGATCATGACAGAATTTCTCCTTACAATATCAGTGCAACATCGAGCAGACAAGTGATGAGAATAAAGAAAAATATGAGTTAGTGGATTATTAGTTTAACCTATACCAAATTCTCCGAACTAACATTATGAGAATTGTATGGCAGACAGTAAGGAGAATTTCAGTTGAGATCTTGGGAATGAAAGGGTTAAGAATTTTCTTTTGGGACAGTCAATGGATAAGTTTAGGTACTTATTCCCTAAAACAACTCTTTTGAACAATGACGTTCTGATGAGTAAAGAAGAGAAATTGTCAATAAGTAAAATTGCTTAACTAAATTGTAAGTGACGGTATATTTTATATGGCGCAATTCACACGATGCGCCAGAAAGCAGTCAGAAATAAAAAAAGAAAGAGATAGTTTAAACTTTAGTTTTAAGTAAATGTTATATGCATGAATGCTGCTAGCAGAATGGATATGCCAAACAGTTTTTTAACTTCCCGTGAGTGGCGGTGATGCAACCCTCTTTAAAAAAAATACCCATATATTTGATTCTGTAGATTTTCTGATATTCCATCCAAACTAGTGTTATACTACTCCTGAGCCGGTTAATAGTTAGATTCCTTGCTCCTTCTGAATCTTTTCTCTCGCCCCACTCCTTCTCCGTCCACGCGCCTCCTAGCTTCTAAAAGCGTAAGGTTACCACCTCTGGCCCATCGTAAAATCGGCTCGTTGATTCCTAACAAATTTCAGGAGGGAGCCTGTTTTGAGGGTCTTACATTTCTAGCTAAGAGTCTTATCCTCATTATTAGTGCCAGACCCCCAGCAAATCTCTTCCCGACTCGTCTCATATCTTCTCGCAGGCGGAGAAACAGGCCTCCTACAGCGCAAATGATAAGGGTCTGATCGCAGGTTACATCCGAGGTCTGAGAAGAAAGGTTTGGCTTTGCCAACGCACATAATTTAGGATTTGTCTCAAAGCTGTTTAGATCCTCAAAATAAATTTAGCACAAAATCTTGTTAACCGCATAACAATCGTATACACACTTCTTCCCGATCGCTAATTCCATCACGCTTATGAATACAAATTGTATTCACTATGGCACATTTATTCTTGTAATCGTAAAACAATGTATCACTCTCCATAATTCACTTTCGTTATCGTTAACGGATGAAAAAGAAACTTTTACAATCGCATTCTTGGAGTAATATCCCTCAGGTAAAGAGAGAGGCTTGTTGGTATGAGGGCTGACCCAAATGTTTACTTTGCTGAAAGGCGGCGATTCTTACACAAAATGAACCGAAGTGTCGGCACGTGCTGTAAAATTCTGCCATCCGTTAACTATTTGCAAAGATGCTGGCACAAACGTCACTCTTAAAGGGAATTCCTTGAGAGTGTCTTTTCCCAAATCCTGAGAGGACTGTTTGTCTATCAGTCTCGCACATCTGCCAGGGAAGAACGATGAAGTTATTGCTTCGCTTACTGATCGCTATTCTATCACTCTGTATTCCTCTTTCTGGTGAATTACTAACGATATATCTTACATGCTTGGTGAAAAAAACTGCAGAAGTACTGACGAAGTGACGTCAATCGGGTATTACACATAAAATATTTCGTGACTGCGGAAAACACTGAGCGAATTCGAAGTGCAAATCAGCTGAGTACTTTTTTAGTCGTGAACTAAGCGTGTCCTTTCATCTTAGTCCAGGGATGAAAGGCTCTTGATCGCTCCGTTCTTTAGGAAGGAACAGTTTTGGAATCCATGAGCAGAGCCATACGAGGAATTAAAAAGGTATCCTCTTTCATGACTGACCTACTCAGCAGTTATTTGAAGTATTCTTTACTTTTCACAGTTACTTCTCCGAAGATACTATATGTAAACCGGAAAGACATCAGAATAATATGACCGAATCAAAAGAGACAAAATGAAACTATTGTAGTTATTGGTCTTTTGGATGCTATTGCTGTGAATTTTAGGCTACCAAGATGGATACATATTTTGGAACGATGTCAGTGTTTATGAAATCAAACTGGATCACACATTAAGGTCACGAGAATAAAGGAATGATTACCAACTAAAGAAGCTATCGATTGTTAAACAAATTCTCCAAGTCAGCACTAAAGTGAATGCATAGAGAACAGGATGGAGAATAGGCATAATGATGTGAGGGTGAAGAGTTAAGACCGAGGACATAATAATTGCCCATACATGACGTACCTACTTTAAGACCAAGAATTACCGCTGACCAGCTCTTTTCCCACGTGCAGACCTGAAAACGTTTGGGTCGATTGACATAGTCCCAGTAAAATACAAAGAGGCCGTCACTGAATTTCAGCGCAAGCCTAGGATGTATACCTCAAGTCTTGCTGATTCGAAGTCATTGATCCAAGTTAAACCAGAATGATTTTAAACATGCAGTTTCATTTCCATGTTTGGACCTTACGTCCACACTCGACAGGACCCAGAATAGGACTTTCTGTAAAGTTGACGTCACTTTATCCCACGCGCATGCCCAGAAGGGCAGTCAAACATTTCTGCTGCCGTTGATTGCTTTGTCTTCAAATTATCCAGCGTATTTTCAACGGAAAACATTTCATCCGTTACCCAAAGCAGGCGAAAAATCCTTCTGGCTTTTTTAAAGGGAAAACTTTCTCTTAAAGTTTACACACCGTATCATATATTTGGCCCGAGGGTCTCGATTGTTTTAAAACGCCATTGTTGTGCTGAAACATTAGTGCAACAGGGCTGCACGCAACAAAGAAATAAACGGTTATTCCCCCCCTCTCTCGACCCTCCGGAGGAACATGCGAAGGGAAAGTACACAGCCATACACAGCCATGTATACAAACATCTTTATTAAAAATATATTAATCTAGGAAAATTTAAAAGTCACCAGCAAAACTGCCTGACAATAGATACTCTAGGTTAAATGTAAAGCACCATTTACAAATTATGTACAGTATTTACAATAAATAATTTTGACACCGTTTGAAACTGTTAAAAGCCGTGTTAATGTTTCTACTTGATAGCGCAGAATGGCGCAAATGACCTTATTAATGATAGGAGAGTCGCGAATTGCAACTGATAATTCATCGATGGTACTCTTAATTTCCAGGACCTAACAGGCGCCAAATCGACGCGGCAGGGTCTACGCGACAAACCACATTATGGGCACTGCTTCCGAACCAAGTCGCTGCAACCCATGTCATCACCTTACAAGTTCATACGAGTATGAATTTAGACGACTTGTTCCGGGAGCAGAATTTTGTCGCACGGGCAAAGGTTTTTCAAAAAATCAATCCTGTCATACGAAGAAAAATGTCTCAGTAGTGTGTACCCACCCTTAAAAACGATAAATGATTCAACCACCAGTGATGGTCAACCATTGGCCATTGGTGGTTCACCATTGGCCATTAGTTGTCCACCAAAGGCCATTGGTGACTTGCCAATGAAAATAATGGTCTCTAGTGTTCTAGAAATAATGTCGATGCTCGCCAATAATGCTTACTGGTCCGCCATCTATAATTTTTCAATTAAGATGAATGATTCACCAATGACCATCAATTCACAAGGAACTATTCGTGAATCGCCGACTTACTCGGAAAGACGACCCTCCGAGGAAAATTTTCTACTAATTCTGAACTTCAAGTTGGCACAAAATATGGAAACGAAATATGGGAACTTAGCAAAGACAAAAGCAAAAATTCAAAGGAGTACAAAACATTCGCAGACTTTAAACCTCGAGATATTTGAAAATGAACTGCCATTTTCCAGAAATCGCCTTGTGCATTGCAGTGTACAATGGGTCGCCAGTATATACCTGCTTTCACATTTCTTCTGAACCACCAGAAAAAGTCATTTTATTTCCTTTCCACGGAAATTAAGATGTCATTAGGGTCATGTGGATAATCTTGACGAAAATGTGAATTTTTCTTCATTGCGTTAAAATCGCGCATGGTAATCGTGTCTATAGTAACGACCACGGTCACCCAAGACGATAGAATAGCGTCCGGTTTCTTGATCTAAGAAGTGATATCTGTCCAGTACCACATTTGAAACCCTGACGATTGCGTGACAGGGGAACACGCGATAGAACCCTTTCCTCAACAACTGCGTTACAAAATCACTGACGGCGCATCAGTCACTGGAGAGGGTGGAGGAGGATACGGATGCGCAAAAAAGTGTCTTTCAGTTAAAGCAGGAGAAGGAGGTGGACCCTCCTGATCCGAAAAATGTGTCGCTTCTGAAAGATAGTTCGTGTTTGGCGTCGGAGGCGGTGCGAATAAATCCGAATCATACGCTGCCTCCGTGCAGGACGACGCCGCGTAACGTTTGTGCCTACAACGGTGAACTCTGCGACATTGATGCCGACTCCCAACCGACTCCGCGTCAGTGGAGACAGGCGTCGGGGGTGGAGGCATTCTCGGCCGATGACATCTGTGTGACGTGCATGAAGACGGCGGTAACAGGGACTCACAATATGGACGTGATCGCGAGGTGTACTGAGAACGTTCCGTAACCGGCGACGGCGGCGGGTTCAGGGGCTCATGGAAGTATGCTGTGACAACTGTTGACGCGGTTGACGAGCACGAAGCTCCAGTTAAATTGTTCCGGTCGTATGCTGTCTGTGAGGCGCTTGAACGGTTGCTTAAGCTCGGCGCCGTTCCGTTTGATTTCGAGCGCTTATGCGATGAGCCCGCTGATCCGGGACCTTTTCTTAAAGGTGCTGTCACAAACATGTCATGCCGAGATGACGTCGACGATGATGACGATGCTGACGAGGAAGGCCTGGGATGGAGAACTGGAGTCACGACTAATCCGATATCGTGAGTTACGTCACAGTCTGGGCCGTGCTTAAGCCTGCGACAGATGAGTACAGCGACAGTGAGGAAGATGACACCCACGATGATTGACGCCACAATGACTGCCACCATTTTACCACTGAGATTTGAATGGTGCAAAGGATTAGGTAACTTGTCTGTGCCATTCACTAGATTAAAAGCAGAAAAAAAATGATCCATCATCATCTATGAATACGAAGCGCTAAAAACACAATAAAGCAGAACGCGCAGTTAAATAAATGGTTAGCACGCTTGTCCGACTCAGCTTAGATCGTCGCTTGAAAACAGTAAAGAGGACGTGTCTCAAAGATTCAGACTAGGAAAGAAGTTTTTTGCGAGCTTTACCACTACACCATATAATAAGTATAAATCGCAATATTTACCTGGAGTAACATCGCAATCCATTTCATCTCTATTATTAGGACAGTCTAGTGTTCCATCGCATTTCCAGTCCAAAGCGATACACGAACAGTCGTCATCATGGCATCCAAACTCAACGTTCGAGCATTTCCGTGCTAAAAAGGAAATAAAAGAAAAGGTTCAAGCTCAGAATCACCCAATTCAAAGTCACTACATGTGACTTGTTAATAAAAGCCGGCAAAACTTAAACGGTGCATACGACGGAGATGTGGTTTATTTTCGGTGCTCCCTGATCTATAATAGGCTTTAGGGTCGTTTATAGGAGGAAAATAATCTGCGGCTCAAAAAGACGTAATCTCATCCTATAAACGGTACATTTCCACTTCTGCAATCCACGGCGTATGCAAAATTAAAACTGTTTACGACTTTCAATCGAAAAGCGCCTTTTCGCAACAAATAAGAAGTGAGCACTACCTGAAGCTTTGCATGACCTACTTCTACAATTTAGTCAGTTTTGCACAAGTTCCTAAGTTTCTATTCCTCCTCTGTGGTTTGTCTGCATCGGTGCAAACCGTGATGAACGCTTTCGGAAGACCGCTATGCGACAACCAAAGGACGGTTATGAAAGACAATAATGAAGGCGACAAATCGTGTTCACTTACAGCAATCAGACTCGTCCGAGTCGTCAAGGCAATCCCCCACACCGTCATTCACCTTCTTCATATCGATACACTGACCTCCAGTGCGGCAGGCGAATTGGTCATCGCCGCAAGGAGCTACGGATCAGACAAGGAGATTGTGAAGTTGCTTTTGAAAGATCTAAGATTTTTTGAGAATGAAGGTGCAAAACAATAAAGCAAAACAAAATCAACTCAGACAAACGAAAAAACTACTTCTACTACGGCAAAACGTTTAACCTTCAGCTCCCAAGTTACAGCTAGTAATTCTTCCTTCTAATAGTCATATATTTCCTTGTTAATTAGAAATACCCATTTAGTGTTCCATGAAGGTAACACTCAGTAGCTCATGAGTTTGTCTACTCTCATCACCTATCTGCAGGATTTTGTATTGAAATCGCGAGGTAAAGTAACACACTAGCCAAACCTGGGAGCTGATTGGTTACAATAAATCCATGAGTTTACGCACAGGCTCTGAGAGCCTTCACTGGTTTATAACCTATAAACTCTCAACATAGTAAAATTACAAACACAACTTACAACAATTCTTTTCATCGGCACCATCAGGCTCACAGTCTGGATTACCATCACAAACCCAACTTTCTAATAAGCAAGGTCCGCTTGGACAGGAAAACGCGTTTGGCGGGCATTCCCTTGGAGCTGGTGAAAAACAAACGAACAAAGTTAATACATAATCACTATAAAACTCAGAAAACCTGTGTAATATATACAAAAAGGCTTTGTGGGTAAACTGAGATGCACTGTACAAATTCGGGCGGAAGTTTCCCTAACTCTGGTCTCTGAGAATTTGTCTTTTCGATGAAACATTTAAATTACGATTACAAGGCGCTCTTTACACAAAAAGTGGCGTTGGTCCTAAGTAAAATGGTCATTCTTTCATACTTTCGCTATTCTCCAACATCTATTATCCCCTCAATCCCTCAATATCAATTTACACATTCTCCGCACTGTTTTCTGTACACTTCCTAAGGTTCCGACTGGGAGAAATTGTTTAACAGTCAAGAGTTTCTTTAGTGGGTGATCATTTCTTTAAATCTCGTCACCTTAATGCGTGATTTACGAGTATTATTGTGAGGAGAAATTAGATGCTTGTCACTCTTAAGGATCAAGGGTTTAACGATATGTTTGAATCACACTTACGTCCGCAAGTTGAATTGTCCTCAGTTAGGATCAATTCCATAGGGCAGGAACACTGAGCTTTGTTGTGATCACCGACCAAACAGATGTGTGAACAATGGTTTCTAGTACAAGGATGGTGAGCTAAAAAGACGAAATTTAAAAAAAAATTAACGCGCGCTTCCACTCAATTAATAGTGAAATTTTCCATTAAGGTCGGAAGTAATCCGTGTTTGTTTTGTTTTTGCTTTAGCTCGGTCTGTGATTGGTCCAAAGAACTCGCACCATGCTCTCCACCAATCAGATGCAAAACTAAAACCAATCACGAATTGCGCTCTAAGCAGTTTGGTCAGTTTTGCATAAAGTTCTCACTGGCTCTTATGATTGGCTGTTATGATAACTTTAATTTTGGTTCTACGATGCTAAATACAAAAAGGCTCTACTGGTAATAATCAAGGATTAGTTAAGTGCGTTTGATCTAGCTAAGGAATCGACGTTCGCCGAAGCGAGCCAACCCTAGGGATTCTGCTTAGCCGGCGGGATTTAGAGCTCACGCATAAATCAAGGCGAAAGGTTAGCTAGTCTTTGATGGCGCCGAAAACCTCAGTGGAGACTCGTACGGAAAAGTGGAATCCCTGCACGACTACAATATCATAATTTTTACAAAGTATGAATCCACTTTGATTGATTGGGGGGAAAAAAAACTCTCCTTACTTATAAACATTAAAGAAAAGAAATGGTAAAAAGGAAGTTTGGTAACCACGTCCGTACCTGTTGACTTCCTCATATCAACCACAATCATATCTGTCAAACCATCGATAGAGGCTTGCACCGTGCTGCCAAAGTCTTCTTCCAATTCACCGATCTTTTCAATTTTCTTGAGCCAGCGCGACTCCTGGTCGATCCAGTAAACATGATTCCCATAAACTGCCAGGCCAACGGGATCCAAGACATGTCTCTCCACCAGCGTGGCTCTGTTAGTCCCTGTGAGACAACAGACATAACTATAGCTTTGAGAACACAATGGTTTAACGCCTTTACATGTGCAAACGTTGTAACCGCTACAAAACATGCTTAAAAATACTATCCCTTTCAAAGAGTATTTTCACATACTTATCAGAAAGGTCAAGAAGCCACACATGAAAAAAAAAAAAAAAAAAAACGCTCGCGCCTTAACCAGCAGAAGCGGCGTACTTTTTACGTTTTCCAGGCGAACGGAGACAAGCGCAAAAAACACGCCCGTTCTATAAGCTACTCTCGCCTGCACTTTGTGACTGAACCGACCCCGAATTGTAATCTCAGACTTCTTGCAGAGCACCCGAGTAAAAACAAACTGAGAAATCTGTCCGGTCCATAACCTTGACAATCACTTTTATGCTTACAATCCGAATGAAACTACACTCGACCACATAACTATTACTGCTGCGGCTTTAAATAGATCGTCTAATAAATTGAGAAGTCCACACCATCACTTTCTTAAACGTTTTGTTCAAAGTTACTGCCAACAATCAGCCAACTTGCAGGCCGCTTTTTGCTCATTTTATACCTAGCTAGACAAAAGAATCATGTGCGAGACTGGCAATTACGCTATGACATATCCTTGCACAAAGCAAAATATACCGCACTGTCACACTTTTCTTTTGGATACTCGCCCATATCGGTCTAAACAACGTCAGCTCATTTTGGCCCTGCAGTTTAAGAATGCTCCTCAGTGACTTACCTTCCAGGTCGCCATATTCAATCTTCTTCAGTTCCGTGTCAGTCCAGTAAAGTTTCTTGCCTTCCTTATCCACTGCTAAGTCTCCCGGAGAGTCAGCACTGAACAGAAGCAGATTGTCAACAGAAAGCTGCACCTTGTCTGCCCCAGCCATTGGCACCTTCATGATACCCTTGGTCTTTGGATTGACATTGGTGAAGTACATAAGCCTGAACAAGACACAAAACAGAATCGTTTCATTAAATAATATATAGATTTAGCCAAGCCTAAAAGCGGAGCTCGCATTTTTTTTCCCGCACGTCTCAAGGGCACAACGCCTTGCCCCGGCCAGGACTAGAACCCGGGTCGTCCGACTCGGAGCCCAGTGCACTGACCACTGTACCACTTACAAAGCCGTGGCGTTAGCGTGCCCGTGGTACAATTGACCACGCATGTTAAAAGTAACACCTTGTACAGTCGTACGGTCGTACATCCAAATTTTTTCGGGCTACGCTCTGCGAGCTCCGCTATGACGTAGATTAACTTTTCGCCTTTCAAGTGTCGCGTCAATTCGTAGAATAACTGACCTTGAAAACGTTTTTGGCGCCTGGGTGCCGAAGAAGACTAAATTTTGCGTTTAGGCGACCTATGCAATTTTGCGTCTATAGCAGCTCTTAACCCTTTAACCCTACGAGTGACCAGCATCTAATTTCTCCAAACAGTAATACTGCTGAATCATTCATTACGATCACGAGAATAGAAGAAATGATCGCCAAACTAAGAAGTTTAGATTGTTTACTGAATTCTCTCACCAGTAACGAAAGAAATTCATAGAGAACAGCATGCAGAATGTGGATACTGGCTTTAGGGGTGTGAATGGTTAAGAGCTGGCTCACATTTCTGAGAGAAGAGCCTTTCAAACACCAAGTGATTTTCCTACGGGCACGGGCTTTGATTATCAAAGAACTACATGCACTATCACGAATGGAATAAAATATAAAAGATACTGTTTGAGGAATAAAGACTCACCCTTTCTCAGGATAGAGCACAATTGACCGAGGAGAAACACCGTCTTTCTTAAACACTTCTCCCAGGTTGGTATTGTTTCTTAAACTGTACACATTGATACTGTTAGTAACAGAGTCCGTCCAAAACAATTGCTTTGCATACGGGTCAATGGCCAAGTCATATGGAGACGCCTCTGGATCAAGGTTTATGACCTTGTCCCCACTGGAGCCGTTTTGATATGCAAATTTAATGCGGGAGTCTTCGATCCAGAAGAGACGATGGCTGTTAATATCAAAATCAACGGCCTGAACATTTGACAGACCACGGACAGGTAAAACTACATCAAGGTTATCGGATGAATCGAACAGGATTCGTCGAATTTCTGTTTTGGTGCTGTACAGCATGAAAACACGGGGGGCTGTAAACAGAAACAAAAAAAATTAACAACCGGCTTAAAAACATTTCGATTGATTAGGGTTCCTAACGATAACTACGTGACATTTGCTAATTTGAGCAACAATCGTTACATCTCTCTTAGACTCTTAACAGAGATCTGAAATCAACTCTCCTTACAATTTTAATGCAATGAGGGAGATACAGGTAATAAGGAATATGAAAATTATCGGCTGGTGAATAGTATTGTTCCAAAACACTACATTCTAGGAAGAACCAAGTAAAGGAATAATTTGCCTTCAATAAAGAAAATTCAAGGCAGGGCTAGTTCGCAAAGAACAAAACTGTAAATTCTCCTGAAAAGCTAACGTATGTTTTAAGCTACGATCAATTCCAAGCTCGAACCTCCCCCTTCCACCTGGGAAAACCCACGGGCATTTGACCGTCGTTCGTACTCGTTGGTTGAGGAATTTGAGCCGGAAGTGTAGATTCTTTCCAGCGGAATACGCGAGCGAATGGATCAGAAGAAAAGGTTTACAAATTCTAGGTTTTAAAGCTTGGTGATGTGTAGAATGTCGCGGTCGCTGATTTTGCCATTTAAAAAAATCGGTTGGCATTGACTTGAAGTTTGTCTAAACTATATCCAGTCAAATGTAACACCTATTTGTTATCAACAAACCTAAGCAAGTTTTATTGTCAATCATGGATAAGGTATAGTGTGTAGGACAGGAACACTCCTTTCTCTTCCCAGGTTTAGCCAGACACAGGTGACTACATCCTCCATTCCTGAAGGCACAGAGATTGGAACCTAAGAAAATATGCAGATAGGAATAAAGGGTTATTCTTATTTTAGAAAGAAAAAGCTCTCACCCTCTGTAACTGCCATTTGCCGTCACAAGTTCAAATCCCACATACGACGTGGAAGCTCTCGAACCTCACTCTAAAAGGTTGACCCTTTATACCCTGAGAGTGCCCAGCGTCTAATTTCTCCTTACAGTAACAATGCTGAAACATTTACTATGATCATGAGAAAAAAGGAAATAATCACAACCTAAGGAGCGTTGAAGGTAAAAAAAAAATTCTCCTTGTCAGCACCAAAGGAAATGTATAGAAAAATGTATGGAGAATTTGGATGCCAATGTTAGGGTGTAAAGGATTACTGTACAGGACAATCAACATGTACTTCATCTGGGTTTAAACCTTCTCTCTCTGGCATGGGGTTGAAGAGACATGGAGGGACAGGGTAGAAACTCGTGCCCCTGAAACAATCAAATCGATCTTTTTGAAAATTCAAGGAAAAGTTGCAAGCTTTATATGTTTATCCGAAGCGATCCCAAGTGTTAGTAATTCAGGTCAAAATTTATGGGTTGTACCTTACTTTTACACGTTGCATGTAATCAGAATTTTTGTGAAAATCAGCCAGATGACTAATGCTGCACTAACCTTCCTGTCTGCTGCCATGAAAAACCAAGATATCCATGATAGTAAATTCTATGTTGCCCTTGATCTGAATCCTCTCCATTCCATTCGTTTTGTTGGCGCGGTAGATTGAGCTGAGTTTCTGATCTGTCCAATAGATGTAATCCTTGTACTGGGTCAAAGCAAATGGTTTGGGAAGCTCTGATGCAATCACCTGTCTGTTTGAACCATTTAAATTTGCACACTCAATCACCTTGTTCTCGGTATCAACCCAAAATATCATTTCCGCAGAAAAATCAATTGTCAACCCAGTTGGACGAGTGACATTTGGGACGATAGTCTGTCTGTTAGAACCATCCAGGTCTGCTCTCTCTATCTTTGGGTACCATCCACCGTTTGCCCAGTACATATGCCTAAGACAAAGATTTCAAAGATATTTAATTTTTAACCCTTAAAAACCAAAGAGTGACAAGCATCTAATTTTCTCTTAACAGTAATACTACTGAATCATTCATTAAGATCACAAAATTAAAGGAAATGATCGCCAACCCAAGAAGCTTTGATTGTTACACAATTCTCCTTGTCAGCACCAAAGGAAATGTGTAGAGAGGAGTAAGGAGAATGTGGATACAAATATTAGGGTGTTAAGGGTTAACTTTTGTGGCATGTCTGTAAAGTAGCTAATCAGCTAAGAACATTTGACCATGTTAACTAAAGGTTATTATTGCATTGTTGTATAACTAAAATGAAGTCAAAACACTGACTTGTCCAGTTCTGCTTCAAAAGCTACATAGGAAACTTAACCCATAATCACAGTGGAGATGAACCTGCAAGACTTTGAAACTCTCGAGCCAGCAGGAGGGAATATTTTTTTCATAATAGCAAACTATTTTCGAGCAAAAAAAGGTAATGAGAAGTAAGAAAATTATCAACTAAAGATCATGTTCCATTCAACACTTAATTCTCAATATAAAATTAAGAAATGTATCGCAGACTGTGTAAACAATTGGCATTTGCATGTAGATCTTGGGAGAGAAAGAGAGCTGTTAGCATTTCTGAATGGGATGCAATGTCCATTTTAGATTATAATCCCTTTTCCATCCTCTCTCTCTCTCCTCCCCCCCCCCTTCAATTCTTCCAGCATTTCTTCAGCTTTCCCTCAAATCATCCTAAGACCTACACAACTTCCTGGTGTAGGGCTATAAGATGGAATACTCTAGAGTAAATTTCCTGGCCCAGGAAAATGCCACAGCCACGTTTCAAGAGCAGACCTTCAAAACCACGCACACAGTACTTTCACATTATTGTACCTTGCAAAAATACTATAAAATTTATATACTGATATTTAATATCAGTTGAGTGCGATGAATGGAAAGTTTGGTCACTGTGGTTTGACTGTTTAAATATGGTGTTATTTTGGGAAACCTTCCTTGTTTTACTACTCTTGGATAAAGGGTAGGTCTTCTCCAAGCACACTAAGAGCATTCAAACAACACATTACCAACTGAAACAGAGCAAGTTGCCCATGACAACATAATGATTTTGGTTTCCATTGTGGCTCACTTAACCAAAAAAGTGTAGTATGTTCACTTACCCAGACACAGGATCAAGAGTCAGTTCTCGTGGTTCCCACAAATCCTTCCAAATCAGCATTTTCCTATGCTGGCCATCCAGTCGTGACAACTCTATTCTCTGGAGCTTTGAATCTGTCCAGTAAAGATTCTTGGCAATCCAGTCCACAGCCAAGCCATCAGGGTAGGACAGGTCTACAGCAATCAAGTGCTGTACATTGCTACCATTCAGAAATGCTCGACTAATAGTCTTGAGGGTCAAATCTGACCAATAAATCTGCATGTCATGAACACTGAAATCAAGAGCGTTTGCTTCCTTAATGCCAACCAATGGAATGACAACACCATTGTTGGTTTCCAAAGAAATTCTCCTGATATCATCAGCATTTGAAAACAAAAGAAAAGCTTCTGGTACTGCAATAGAAGGAAAATAAAAATACATATTTTTTTGGTTATTGCTATAGTTAAAGCAATTGTTAACTTTAATACAAATCATAAGTCAAGAATTCCCCATCAAGCTGCCTGCATATAGATGCATAAATGTATATTGCCAAATAACTATGAAAAGATGAAAGGATAAAACTACTATAGATTTCACAGTGGCATATTTTATGTGACTAGTCAGTTACATCAAGCCTGATTCTTACCCTTTAATGTCACTTAGGATGCAAAAGTATACCATGAAATTACACACTCCCCTGTTAACACTTTAACTCCCATAAGTGATCAAGACAGAATTTCTCCTTATGCTATCAATACAATATCAAGCAGAAAAGTGATAAGAAAAAGAAAAAATATCAGTTGGAGGATTATTAGTTGATCCAATACCAAATTCTCAAAACTAGCATCACAAGAACTGTATGGTGGATAGTACTGAGAATTACTAATGAGATCTTGGGATTTAAAGGGTTAAAACACTGTCACCTAACAAGCATGATCCATATGCAATGATAGCCAATGGCTGCAGGGGAAATATTATCTTGATCTAACAAATTCTTGCAATTAATTTCTTAGGAAATGTGTGGCATGTAGACAGGTACATCTTGGGAGTTAAAGGGGCCAACAGCGTATGACATTTATGTTGATATCCGTATTTTTGAAGGAAAAAAATGGCTAACTGGCTGATTTTAGCTCTCTGGGTGTAACCAGGCAAGCTCAGTAAATTAGCCCAAGTCATCTCTTCCAAATACTTACATATACATGTCTTCTCGTCAGAAAGAAGCTCCATTCCTGTTGGGCATTCACATTTGGGTCCTAATGGCTTGTATAAACACAAATGACTACAGCCTCCATTTTTTCGCTGACAGGCATTGGAACCTAGAGGTCAAAAAAAGGTGTTTTAAGTGTAATAAGAAGGAAACATGGAATAGTCAAAACTAATTTAAGTATCAAATAAATAAGGCTTCCTACCATAGGATAGATTAAGGTTTACAGCTTTTAGTCCCATAAGATCAGGCAGGCTGTCAATGATTACTCTTCTGTCTTCACCAGTTCTTTTGTTCACACTCTCTATTGACCTCTTCTGCCAGTCTGTCCAATAAAGATTATCCCCAAGCACAGTAAAACCAAACACATGAGGCAATTCTTCATCTAAAATAACACGGCGGGCACTCCCATCGAAGTTCATGACTTCTATCTTGTCATTCCTTGCATCAGCCCAGTAAATCTTTTGCTTCAGATAATCAATGGCAAGGCCATTTGGCCACGCGACCGAGGAATTCACTAAGATGACTCTATGACTCCCATCAAGCTCTGCTCTCTCAATCTTTGGGTGTCTTCCCCAATCAGTCCAGTACATGTACCTAAGTGAGATCATGTTAGAACATTTCAAACTTATAACAGCCTTTCTAACTGACACATTTGATAACAAAAATTAATTTAAATTTCTTTGCATGCCTTTGCCAACTTTCAGTATGGAAATAAATAAAAATTATATTAAAATCTATTTTTATCTTTTTTTTTTTCTTGCATCTCAGCAAGGCTCAGTCATGGGCTCCTAACCCATCCTGTCTTTCACAATACCAAACAGAGTTCAGAATTTTTTCCCTGTCATTCCAAAAAAGCAAAATCAGCAGAAAAAAATCAGTTATCCACAGCCTCAGTCAGTCCTTATGGGGAAAACCTGTGCTCTCCATCTTGAGTACAGCCTTCCTTCTTGGCTTCTGGTTGTACTCAATACTTTGTGTACAGATTTCCACTCAGTAGATAACAAAATTAAACTCGTATATTTACCCTCTAGTAGGATCCAATGCTATTGCTCTTGGTTCATCAAGATTTTCATCAATAAGAACTCTT